GTGATAGTAACTGAAACCTTTTCAGGGGTGTAGGCAGTAGTGATAGTTATCTTAAAAATAGATCTTTTTCAGACATTTCACTCATTGTAAAATATATAGACGTACACAGATGGGTGCAGAGAGAGTCTTTCTCAGAGTACCCAGAGCACTTACTGATGTTCGGCTAATCTTTATACCATTTCTGTAAGATAAATGGTATTTTCTGGTTGGGCAGCTGAGGCCCAGATAAATTCAGGGGCTTGCTCAATTCCTTATCACAAACGCACATGGCCCTGCTCCCAGTTCCGTTCTTAGTCCCGTCTAGCATAGATTTCACCACTTTTGTTCTTTCCTGTCTTACACCAGGATTGTTTAAGTACTTCCCAAAAATAATGAGCCACGTGTGGGTGTGTTCATTCTCCAGAATGAATCACTGTGAAAGGGGCTGTGAACCAATGAAAGGAGAAGAAGTGTCTGGATTCAGACTCCTGGCTCTCCTGCCCGCTAATTGACAGACTCCGAAGTGAGCTTTTTTTCAAAAGGCGGCTGTGGGTCTGGCCTGTGTGTCCCACTGTGCTCAGAATAGCCCTCTTGGAGTTGTTCACTTTCCCTTCTCGCTTCCCAAAATAGACCCAATGCTGTTCTCTTTGCTGGACGTTTTGGTGCATGTATTGAGAGGTGTGTGTTCCATGGGCAACCCCTTTCATGCCTGAATGTTCTCACTGACACAAAGAGGAGTGGGCATTAGCGTTCCTGAATTAACAGTCAGGGCTTCAGCATGAGTAAAAGAGGTTTGGATTAAGTATTTGGAAGGTCGCAGAAGTAACTTTTAAGTTAGCTAGAGGAATGAAAGAGGGAGCAAATAAATGAGTTTCCTTATTCTTTTTCATGTCTAAAAGGGTTGGAATTGAAATTAAGGAAGAATTTACTTTTAAAATTCCTTTTATGATTTGGATCCTAGTTCTAAAGGGTACCTGCTTTAAACTTCCTGCCTTTAAAACGTAACACTACCCAAATGCTTCAGCAGGTAGCTGCATGTTTTGTAATTTCTCCCAGAAGAAAAGGATCTGATCAGATACTGTGGAAAAAATACTACAGGCCATACAGTGAAGATCTACACTGCCCGTTTACCTGTCAGAGCTGTCTCTCCTTTATTTCCTTGTGTGGGAATGGCAAGGGATCATGTCATTTATAGAAAGCTGAAGGAAGGAGGGGTTGGACACACAGATATTTAGAATCTGTCTTTGGATTTGAAAAGCCAAGAGTTGTCTTCTAGTGTTTTGGAGGAAGAGACAAAGATAGACTGTTTACAGCCTAAAGGGGTGAGTTATGACAGGCTAGTTTTTCATGGAACTGATCATATACGTCTCTTGTCCAGAGGCCTTAGTTTGAACATATTCCCACTTGGTATCCAAGTAGCATCCACTTAGTGTCCAACTGAGGACTGGGTGAGTCCTACCACCTTCATACTGTGATTGACAGCTTTTTCATTCAGGGATGTGAGTCCCAACTTAAGTATTCTAGTGGCTAAAGCCACACTCCTGCCCATACAGAGAGGTCAGGGCTAGGTTAGGCTCTTGGGAGACAGTGTTGGGGAGAACCAACTGCTGCTGTCTGTGCTATTCTTGTTAGACTGATAAAGGATTTCCGACTCCAGGGCTGCTGAATTTACTTTCAGAGGTACCAAATTCATTTACAGTAATTTCCTGTCAACAGTGCACACTTATGTATAATACACACCCAGCAAGACTCACTAGTCTCAGAAATGATTGCATATACTACCTATTTGAAAAAAAAAAAAAAGATTTTATACACACACACACACACACACACACACACACACCCTTTAAAGTGTTTTCAGAGTCCTTTCAGAGTGGTTTAAATTTATTGAGCACTTTTTATGCCTGAGCTCATTTAATCCTCACAATAACTTTAAGAGGTAGCCACTAATATTATCCTCTTTGGAGTATACTGTTTTTGTCCCTCATGAGAGGGACACCTGCCATGGACTGCAGGAAGAGGGCGTTGGACTAGTCAGGGGAAGCTTTTCAAAGGGAGTGACTTTAAAGCTGAATTTAAAGGATTTGTAAGAATTAGCTAGGAAAAAAAGCATTGAAGGAAGAGAATGTGTGAGAGCATTCATACTGCCTTCAGGAAACTGGGCATACCTAGTGTTGGAGAAAGGAGATGGGGGTGATGATGGCACCAAGGAACCCTAGGTAGTTTTGGATGGAGTGTGTGTGTATTGAGCGTGGAGACCTATATTCTCCAAAGGGAAGGTGCCTTCCTCTCATTTAAATTTAAAGGAAAACCTTTCCCAGCCACAAAATAATTTGTAATAAGTCTAAGGCAAAGTTCAAAAGGTAGTTTCTCTGTGCTTCATAGGCATAAAGTAGAGCACTTAGAGGAAAATGGTGAAGCTTAGAAAGCTTTACTTGTGAGCTGAATAAACAGGTGAAAAGGTTGTGCCCTCATTGAAGATATCTTTCTGGCCCCGTCTTTATAATAGCTCTTCATTTTGGAACAAGTATGCTAAGGGATTATATTCTAAATCTGGAGAAGGACCTAGGGTAAGATCTGATCATTGATGTCAGTGTCTACTCCCAAATTTCCTGCAGCTCTGCTGTGTACATGCACCAGCTGCCTACAGGCCAACTACACATGTGAAACAGATGGGGCCTGCATGGTTTCCATTTTCAACCTGGATGGGATGGAGCACCATGTGCGCACCTGCATCCCCAAAGTGGAGCTGGTCCCCGCTGGGAAGCCCTTCTACTGCCTGAGCTCGGAGGATCTTCGCAACACCCACTGCTGCTACACTGACTTCTGCAACAAGATTGACCTGAGGGTGCCCAGTGGTGAGTGGACACCCTTGTTGGACTATTGGCTCATCTCGGAGGTAGGGCACCCCTGTCATTTCATCCTTCTCTAATCTTTCCCCACTCTCTTTGATGATTGGTAAAGGATTCTTTTTGATGTTCCCCAAGGTGGCAGGGAATAGGATTCCTTTCACGTCAGGTTCATAGATTAGAAGATGAAGGAGACATTGTCAAGTTGGTCCCAGAGGTGAAAGCTGAATTTTGGATAGTGGCCGAACAGCCATAGGCAGCCATTGAGGAGTGGGAGAGCTAGGCAGGGATCCTAGGGGATCGTATGAGACTGATGCTGAAGGAGGCAGCCCCAGAGCTGTGTGCAGGGAACTGCTGGGGTGGGGATGAGGGCAAAATGGGAAGAAGGGCTAGAATTGGGCAAGGACTTTGAACAAAGCTGAAAAGTAATAGATCCCACCCCTTCGCAAGTGTGCCATTTAGAAGTATTACTAGAGAGATCAGAACAGGAGGAGAAAGACTGGAGCAGAGCTTGAAGAAGCTGTTACAAGTTGAAGAGTAGAACTTGGCATCTGTCTGGGGCGCTGAGGTGGGAATAGTACCATGAAATGCTCTGAAATTATAAAATGAGTTATGGGTTAGACTGCTGCAAAGGGCTTCTTAACCAGAGAGGTTTGCACTTGAGAGCATCCAGGCAAACAAAGTAGCCCAGTAAGAGCAGAGAGGTCAAGGACACCTTGTACGTGAGGCAAAGGAAAGGAAATTTGCACTTGGAGGGTTGTGTCAGGGATAAATAAGGCCAACACATTCTCTTTTTTTTTTTACTCTTTGTTCTTTCCCTCTCTTCTCTCACTTAACCCAGGTCACCTCAAGGAGCCTGAGCATCCTTCCATGTGGGGCCCTGTGGAGCTGGTCGGCATTATTGCCGGCCCAGTGTTCCTCCTGTTTCTCATCATCATCATTGTTTTCCTTGTCATTAACTATCATCAGCGTGTCTATCACAACCGCCAGAGGCTGGACATGGAGGATCCCTCATGTGAGATGTGTCTTTCCAAAGACAAGACGCTCCAGGATCTTGTCTACGATCTCTCCACGTCGGGGTCTGGCTCAGGTACTGAGTTCTTCAGGCCTCGTGTCTGTTGTTGGCCTTCATTACTGCTTCCCAGCAGGATAGAGTGTTTGTGAAAAGGGCTGGGCTTTTGCACTTGTTTCTAGCAGCACTGAGTCATTTGGTTTCATACTTCCCCTTCTTTTGGTGTCTGACAGTAATAAGATAAGATAATGAGTTCACAGAAAATCTTTCACTCCCTGGGATTCCAAAGGTCAAATGTAAAACTCTCCATTTCAGAAATTCTGCCTCTCTTCAAGTCCTGTAACCATACATCTATTAAAATTCACCTGGTTCCACCTGAGCAATGGAGTGCTCAATTTAAGGGCCCCTTTTGAAAGACAGGAGTGTGCCACTTTCCTGTTAGGTGGTGACAGCTAATCATTGATCTCTGAGCAACCACAAGGGGAGTTTAAGGACATTGAGTAAAGCTGAAAGCTGGAGTTTGGTGAATCATTGACTTGTATCAGTTGCCCAGGGCTTTTTGGGCGGGGGTTAAATAAAGGCAGCTTAGGCTTTCAGCAGGGCATTAGCACTATTTTCTGTACTGCCTGTTGGTAACCACGTCTTTCTTAGACGAAGGAATTGAACCGAACACTGGACCTTGATGTGAGACCAGATTTTAGGATAAGGGGAATTGGGTTGTTCAGGCCCCAGGGTATATAGCTCAGCTAGCTATCAGATGCGAATATTAATTGCAAAAGAGTCATCTTATGAAGATAAACAGTTATTTTAGTGATGGTGGTAGTCTGTCCTTGTAAAAAGATCCACAAAGGTCACTGTTGCCATTCTAGCTAAAACATATAGAATCACATTTGTGAGAATTTTGTGCTTATGTATGTTTCTTTGCCATGTGACAAGACTTCTGTATGGAAATTATGCCATCAGTCATGACCAGACATTCCTCCTTGAGCACAAGGAATACTTTGAGCTGTGACATCTCTTGAATTTTAGTGTTTTGCCTTTATTAAGCTCTGCAGTAGAGAGTGCCAAAATGATGGATATATTTAAAAGCTGCATATTTTTAGGAAGAGAGAAAATATATGGCTTGTTCTTTGCTGAAAGAGGTAGGGCAGTGGTTAGAACTGCCTGACTGACTCTGTGATTGAATTTTCTGCTAGAAGAGGTTAGCTTGGGTTTTCTGGAGTCTTTTTTAAGATCAGGACCGGCTGAGAGGCTCAGGAAGGTCCATGCAGTTACTGGAGTAAAATGATTAATAACTATTTCTCTCTGGATGGTTTAGTCCATTCTTAATCCAGAATATGCAGAGCTTCCAAAGTGTTGGAGTTTTAATACTGTAGATTTAAAATAAGTCCTTGTTGTTTATGTGATGTTCAGTTCATATCAACAATATATGAATTGACTACCCTCTGGGTGATATAGGGTAAAATGATGAGAAAGAGGCCCAACGAGGGTTAGATAGAAGAGACAGGGATTGTTGGGAAGGGTCTCACAGAGGAGGACTATTTTAGAGGATTTTGAAGATTGAGTTCAAAGTTTTAAGAGAGATGAGAGGGCAGAGAACTTTCCAGGCCAAGGAAAATCCCTTGAGTAAAAGGACAGAAAGGCATAAAGTTCACCGAGTGTTTAGGGAATGGTAGAAAGGCCGGCATGGTGCACCCATGCTGGGGGTGGTGGCATCAGACTGATGAAGGCAGAAAGGACCTTGAGTGCTGTGCTTTTGTCTGGCAAGGCGAGAGGCATCTCCTGAAAGTTTTCGTGTGGGAAAAGAAATGTCCATATTTTTCTGGGGAAAGATTTCTGGCAGTGGTGTGGAGGGTGAGTTCATTCATTTACTACCTTCCTGTGAGGATGGGCAGGGTGAGGCGGGGCTGTGTGTGGGCTGCAAGGCAGGAGCAGGGTGAGATGGGAGGCAGAAAGACCAGTTAGAAGTGTTTTAAAGAAGGGCCAGAACTAGGATAGGGCACAGAGGGGATGGGGAAAAGGGATGTAGTTTGAGAAACATTTTGCTGGTTCTATACTGTCGTAGGTAAAAACATGAACCTTGGAGTTACACAGTTCTAGATTTCAATCCCTGCATTGCCACTTATTGTTTGTATGAATTTGAATGAACTACTTAATCGTCCCCTTTGAGCCTTAGTTTTCTCATCAGTAAGATGGAGATAACAACACCTGCCTTATAGGTGGTTGAGAGGAAATGAGATAATTTATGTAAAGCCCTTAGCATAGTGCCTAATGCATAGTATGCATACAGTAAATGGTAGTTCACATCCACAAGAGTTAGGGATTAATAACATTTATGTATTTATCTGTCGGGAGAGGCTGCGAGAGAGTTGATAAATGAGTCTTGTAAAGACAGTAAAATTAATCTTAGAATAAGCATGATAGTTTCCCATTTTACATTTTGAGCGTCACACTCGAGCCGAACTTTGATCTCCAGAAAAGGGGGGAACCTTAAATGCCCTCGCCACAATTTGGCTTTCATGGTCCACACAGCACTGCCCTCTAGTGGCCAAGGAACAGAGCAGCCTGAAGGCACTCCAGTGCTCAAGCTCTCACTTTCATTTTTTTTGCCCTCTTCTTCCATTAACATAAGGCAGATGTGGGTGGATTGGCCCACAAGAGGCTGGCTGTAGAGTTGGTAAATCTGGTCAGACATTTATATTTAAATCTGTCATCTACACTCACTGAGAGGACAAATTGCTTAGATAAGGAATAGATAATCCTATGCATTTCCCTTTCTGTGTTCACTCACTCTGTTGGGTCCTGGCTTAGCTCCCTGGTGGATTACCTGGATATGGTGCAGGGGCAGTCGCAGTTCTCCATGGTCAGTGGACCAGTGTAGCATGAGGTAGTGTGGGAAGGGCTTTTCCAGTATGGCAATAAGAGAGTTACTAAGTTTAGCAAATTTACAGTGTCAGCTTTCTTTCTATTCTTTTGTCCATAGGATTACCCCTTTTCGTCCAGCGCACAGTGGCCCGAACCATCGTTTTACAGGAGATTATTGGCAAGGGCCGGTTTGGAGAAGTGTGGCGTGGCCGCTGGAGAGGTGGCGATGTGGCTGTGAAAATTTTCTCTTCTCGTGAAGAACGGTCTTGGTTCCGAGAAGCAGAGATATACCAGACAGTCATGCTGCGCCATGAAAACATTCTTGGATTTATTGCTGCTGACAATAAAGGTAAAGAGCTGGGTTTGGATACAGTGTCCTAAAGCCAACCATGGCCCCAGATGGAGGAGGTGACCGGGGATAGCACAGCTCTGTTTGCCTTCTTGGTTATTACCCATAGAAAGAATCTAAATAAGGTAATAGTTTTCAAACTTCTACAAAAAGCTTGTATAGAAACCCAGATCACTAAACAAGAAAATAAGTAGTTATTAAACAGATGAACAAGTAAATCTCTTGTCCTACCTACTCAGTTTCCCTTCCACGACACTCCCAAACCCACCCCCAGGGTAGTCCCTGAGGGGCCCTAGGAGAGGATGGCCCCAGAAAAGTGTGTAGTCCACATTCTATGGCATAACAGCAGCATATGTTTGTGGTGGAGTGAGCACAGCCTGGTGATGACCTCTCTGCCCTAAAGTGTTACCTCATGGCCTTCAGGCCCAGCTTTGAGTCCACTTGTACCCAAGGTCTCTTATTTTCTCCTTTCTCGCTTTCATTTTTGCTTTAATTTTTGAGTCTCTCTTGTTTGACCAGGCATGTCCTCATTTTTGAGGACCTCACTGACTAGCAAAGAGACAAAGTAATGATTGATTATAGGAAGTAATAAAACAACAGGCTGTTCTAGTGAGCAAAATTGGGAGTGAGGTGGGGGTCAGGGAGGTCACACAAGCTTGATTGAGGCGAAGGTGGCAGGAGTCGGTCAGGAAGGAAAACCAATAGAAAGGCACTCCCGACGCACGTGCAGAGGTGAAGTGTGTTTGGAAACCTGCAGGTGACTTGGGATGGTCATGATATAGCAAAAGATGGTGGAGAGGTAATGGAGGCCAGACTACGAGGGCCTTTTTGAGAGGATTGTATTCTGAGATAGTGGGTAGTAACTGAAATTTCATTTATCAGTTCAGTAACATCTATTGATGACTACAGGCCAGGACCTCTGCCAGCTGCTTGCATCATCACACATAAGAACAAGACAGTTCCTGCCTTCACAGCTCCCAGGAAGAGGGGACAACAGACACATAGGCAGGAAGTGCGCTTAAAGTCATAGACCATGCAGTGATGGTTTTATAGTTTGGAAGAGTCTCTCTGGCAGTTGCAACAGTTTGCTCCCACAGCGATTTTTAGAAGTTAGTGTCTACAAAGCCTATGGAAGATGCTAAGTGTTTATTTTTCCTTCCTAAAACAACTGCTCATTCCCCACATTGCTATGGGGGTTTATAGTGACCTCATCTGCTCCTGAGCTGAAAAGTGTTAGACTCTACACAAAGGAAGAAGAGGAAGAGAGAATTTTTTTACTCTTTATGAATAAGCTGTTCCTTTTTTAAAAAACAGCTTCACCTTTTGATAAGATTTAAACCTTACATATATTTTAAAGGATCAACATAGTCTTCCTTTTTAACATACTGGCAGGGCCCTCAAGACTTGGGGCTGGTTGGAGTATAATAGGGGTATGTTGGGTGGACCCCTTGTTTGTAATCAGAGAAGTCAAGATTGGTGTTTTTCCAGGAGCCACTCCCTTTATTGATTCTGGCAGCTGTGTGAGAAGGGATCTGGCTGTTGAAACCCACATTAGGGCCAGGGGAGGAGAAAATCAGACTGTTTCATTCTTGCCTTTTTAACATGATACGTATAGTGTAGAGTCCTGGAACTAGCACCAGCCCGGAATTTAGGAGATCTCAATTTACTTTCCAATTTTCCTGTTGACAGCAGCATAACCTAATTAGATTGCCAGCTTTTGGGGTTTTTTTTCTCTCTCTCTTCTTCCCCCTCCTCTTTCCCACTGTGCTCTCTTATACACCCACACCATGTATAAAAGTGTATGCTGTCCACCTTCCATTGCTCTTCTGAGGCTAAGATGACCTCTCTGGAATACTTGGACGTGTGCTCTTCATGTATCAAAAAGTGGTTTTTTGGCCTGGAATACATTAATGCACAAAGGAGCCCTTTCCTGCTCTCACAGAGAGCTCATAGCCTGGTTGGAACAATGCACTTAGGAAAGAAATGCTACAAATGAGACTGGTGCTAGGGTAGGCTGTGCTCAAAGGGTCTTCGAGCACTGAGGAGGACCTGCGAAGGCTTTCTCTTTGGCAGTGGTGGATGCACCAGTAGTGGTTGCTAATGTGTGGATGAGCAGCTCTCTTCAGAATCAAAAGCAGTGTTGCAGGTGTTACCTGTTACTTTCCCTAAGCACATGCTTCCTCCTCTCCTGGATGCCTTATATTTCAAATTTGGTGTAACAGTGGAGCACTGTAAAGAATCCTGTAGCCACCTGCAAGAAATAAGGGAGCAAGTCTAAGAAAGAAGTGTTCTTCTGACCTTCCTGGAGCCTAGAACTGGTAGACACCTGTAGATGAAATAGGCATAGAAGGAGCTGCAGGAGGTGTGCAAGGAAGAAGCAGGAATTCAGGAATCTAACTGGAGTCTGTCTGGTACACATAGTCTTCCTTTCCTGCCTTAACCTCTGTGGTTGTGTCTTTTCTGGAACTCCTCTGTGGTTCTCTGCAGATAATGGCACCTGGACCCAGCTATGGCTTGTCTCGGACTATCATGAGCATGGCTCCCTGTTTGATTATCTCAACCGGTACACCGTGACGATTGAGGGGATGATTAAGCTGGCCTTGTCTGCTGCCAGCGGGCTGGCACACCTGCACATGGAGATCGTGGGCACCCAAGGTGAGTGGACCCAGCCGAGAGACAGTATAGTTGGATAGACTTTAAAAGTTTGTACCACCCTGATTTAGTTCCCAAAACTCCTTAACTGAGAAAAGTGGACCTAAGAACTGTAATCTAAAGGAAAGAGGTTTGAGCTTTACTTGTATGAAAGGTAAAAAAACCTCATGGGTTTTTTTCCCCACCTGTCTTCAGAATTCCCTCAGGGACTCTAAAGCAAATGTTCAGTTATTTTTCATTCCATGGCTTGACACGTTAGATGTTGGTTGGTGAGCTAGTGTTCATTGAGTGATCATCTCAGAAGCCCGTAGTGCACGTGTAAGAGAATGGAACTAAGAAGATTGAACAGACTCATGGAACAGAAGCATCAGTTCAGTCATTTCACACATTCATTTTTGGGGACAGCTGACTTAAAGACTGCTGGGTGGATTATACACTGGGCTTTGCTAATCTGGGAAGGTTTGCGGGAGGAAAGACCTCAGGCATCCCTGCTGGTTGACTGTAACAGCGGCTCTTGGGGAAACCCTGGATCTTGTCGCAGTAGCAGGTGTGCTCCCTGATGCCTGGCTGACCAGGGCAACAGCACTTGCTGGTCATGACAGAAAACCAGCCATTAAAGTTTGGGCCTGTTCCCAGCCTCTGTGGTGATATTAGCAATCCCTATTAATTGCCAAAGCAGCAACTTTTCTTTGAATTCCTCAGCAATTCAATACTAGAGCATATTAGTTCTGGAAAGGCAAGTAGTAGTAGTATTAATAGTAATATTAGCTAATATTATGCTTTTCTAAGCTCTTTACTTACCTACATGAGTGCATTTAATCCTCACAGCATTCCCAAGAAGTAAGTACTGGCATTAGTCTTGTTTTATGGTTGAGGGGACCGAAGTACAGAGGGGTTAAGTCACTTTTCCAGGGTTAGTGGGTGGCAAAGGCAACACTTGAACCCACCCAGTCAGGCTGCAGAGTCTGTGTTTTTAACACATTTTACTACCTTTCTTTAAAGATCTCTGTTTTTTCTTTCCCAGGGAAACCTGGAATTGCTCATCGAGACTTAAAGTCAAAGAATATCCTGGTGAAGAAAAACGGCATGTGCGCCATTGCAGACCTGGGCCTGGCTGTCCGTCACGATGCCGTCACTGATACCATTGACATTGCTCCAAATCAGAGAGTGGGAACCAAACGGTAGGAAGTCCCTGGGCCTCTGTCCGTGCCCTACACTTGTTCCGAGCAGTCGACGTGTGGCCCTTCCCGTTGCACAGGAGAAGGTGTAGAAAAAAGACGGATGACTCATTTTAACTCCAGCTTCCAATTA